CATCAAAATATATATTGGCCCCAACATTTATACACAAATGTTCATAGCAACATTATTCACAATAGTTAAAAGCTGGGAATAATACAAATGGTGAGTGAATAAGTAAAATGTGGTATATCCACACATTGGAATACTATTCAGCAACAAAAAAGGAAAACTCTATGGGATTGGGAGGTGAAATTAGACAAGAGGAAATTTTTGGAGGTGATGAAAGTGCCCCCAAATTGGATTGTAGCAATGTTTGTCCAGTCATAAATTTACTAAAACACATCAATCTGTATATTTACAATAAATAGATTTTGTGGTATACAAATTATACTTCAATATAGCTTTTTAAAAAAATCATCCAAATAAAAAGTCAAGTTACAGATTAGGAGAAGATAATTAAAATTTATACAATCATAGAAAAATTATAATACAGAATATATATGTCCGTAAGTAAATATATGTGCATCTGTATGTGTGTGTGTGAACTCTTATAAATCAACTATAAATAGAAAACACAATTTTAAAAAACGGGAAGTGGCAAAAATTATGAACAAGCAATTCACAAAGAAAACCTGAACAGACAAAAATAAACATCTAAGAGATAACGTATCTCATCCTAATTAAGAAAATATAAATGAAAACCACAATAAAGGAGCAAATGCTGGCAAGGATATGGAGCAACAAGAATTCTTAACCACTACTGTGTAGATCATAAGTAAGTACACTCCTTAGAGAGCAGTTTGACAATGTTGAAGATGCACATTCCTCATCGCCCAGTTATTCCATTTCTGGACACCATGTAAATTCTCAAACATATTTCATAATACCTTAATTTTTTAATTTAAAAAATTATACAGTGATTCCAATTCCAGGAAGCTTAATGTGGCTTCAGTTCTGGTGACAAAAAACCATATGGTATATTAGAAATACAGTGTATTTATAATAACTTGGAATAAAAGTACAATATAAATAAACATCACATGAAAGGCTAAAAATTCAAGAAACTATAATTTTCTGGTGTTTTTAGATTATGTCATTAATAGTAAATATTACAATATGATATTACAGAATTTCTTTGTCCTTTAGAAGTTCTGATGAAATGTTATTATGAATGGTAATTTTCAATGGAATATTTTGCCCATCTTAATAAGGTTTTCTAACCTATACTCCTTTAAATACCATTTTTTCTAAAACATGTCTTTCTATATCTTTCTTGCATAAACATCTTTGAACAAATCTTCATACTTTTAAGGACAAAATTGAAGGTCCTTTAACAGAAATTATATGTTCCTACTTACATCACTTCTGCACCCCTGATTTTATTCTTACACTCCCCCAACACATCCAGATCCACTGCCCTTATGTCTATTTCTCTTTATCACAAACAGTCTTACTTCTGTTCATCAAGTGAACTTTCGAAAGTACATCAAAACACAACTCAAGCATGGCCATCTCTCGACATCTTTCCTCTTCTTTCCTCATTACCTGTTCTAGTTTGCTGCTCTTCTGCGCTTTCCTCCCCAATGCCCTCTGCATTTTTCTATTATATAAATCATACTCTACTGTATTTGTTTTTACTTATTTATTTACTTAGAAGTCTCTGCCATTGGCCAGAACATTATATGTTTTTAATTGGCTTTTATCACCTGTATCAAGCAGAATTTCTCATAATTTAAGTCAATTAATCCATTTTGAATGAATAAATGGATAAATCATATTCTTTAAAATAAGTAAATGCATAGATGTGATCTTTCCCAGTTCATATTTTGGGAGATCTGTTTTAAGGGCTGTGTTAAAATTGTAGGATCTAAATTCCAAAAGCATTTTGCAAAATCACTCATCTACCATAAAATTTTTGAAAACTTCAAAAATCAAATTTAAGGAAGACTGTAGTTATATTTATAGTACAGATGGTAATTTTACTATGATAGATGCAGAGTAAGCATGGCATACTTAAAACTATAAAATAGCTCTAGCTGGTTTGGCTCAGTGGATAGAGCATCAGCCTGCGGACTGAAGGGTCCCAAGTTCGATTTCGGTCAAGGGCACATGCCCAAGTTGCAGGCTCCATCCCCAGTAGGGGGCGTGCAGGTGGCAGCTGATCAATGATTCTCTCTCAACATTGATGTCCTATCTCTCTCTCCTGATCCCTTCCTGTCTGAAATCAATAAAAATGTATTTTATAAAACTATAATATATGTTTGCATTGTTTTAATTTACTGTTTTGTTTGATTATTTCAATGTGTATTACATTTTAAAAATTAAATAAAAAGGACTTTATAACTCCTCTGGGCTCTAAGATTTTAATGATGAGTCATATGAGACAAATTAAATTGTTTCTGATTCAGAGCAGTATAAATGAACTAATAAGCTGAATATGTGACTGTTATTAAAGACTGTGAACTGATTTTGACTATACTGACTTTTTAATTTTTTATAATGAGATGGAAGACATATTACTCACTACTTCTTGCTGTCCGTATTGTCACTTAGCTTGTTTCCCATGGGATTACTAAGAAGTAAATAACTATACATTAACTTTCAACTATTTTTATCCTCATCTGAGGATATGTGGTTTGTTTAAATTGATTTTAGAGAGAAAGAGGAGAGAGAGAGGAGAGAGAAACATTGATGTAAGAGAGAAGTCTATCAGTTTGCTTACCGTAAGCACCCCAACCCAGAACCAGCCTATGGGTATACGGGACGACACTTCCAATGCCTGAGCCCCTGGCCAGGCTCAACTTTTTCTTTATAGACGTAATTTTGTTGGATATTATAGATGACAGAGAACCATCTTAAGTCTTTTTTGGTATAAATATCTGTTGGCTTCACACCTCTACTGAAAAAACGAGTCCTATAGTGTTTAAGAGTTATTCCTAATGTAGTTTTGTAACACTGATTTAACCTAACATTCTTGTTAGAAAGCATAGAACAACAACAAGAAAATGTATCTGCTGATTCAGTGGAATTGTGTGGAAATAACAAGAAGATTGTAAGAAGCAAGCAATTTTCTGAAAATACAAGACAACATAAACCACATGTTCAAATAGACCCTAAATCTGAGTTCTTCATCCTATTAAACAGTCTTCTGTTATCTATATTATAGAAAATTTCACTTAGTAGATGTATTCCTTTTGTCCCTGGGATATGTTGAATGTGATGAATTAGGAGGCAGTATATTGAACACCAAAAAATAAGTTACCACAGCTCTCAGTGACTTTTCTGAAAAAATGCTTAGCGTTCTTCTATGAATGAGTAATAGGCTGTGTGTTTGAGGCTGCCCTCCATTTACTCTGTTCTTGGATCTGCACATATGTGGTCCTGAAGGACTGAAAGAATTCTGAGTAAAGGCCTTTACTGAATGAATGTCGATTATTGTTAGACTTTTTTAGAGTTCAGATTTCAGAATTGTTGCCATGTACACCAGGTTCTAAAAACTAGAATTAATTTTAAAGTGTTTTCTTGGTCTTCAGTTTTCAAACATAAGCAAAGAGTTAAAGTGGAAACAGATGATCAGAAAAAAACATGTGATGAGCATACTGTTTTTTCTGCAATAGGAGTGGTTTTGGTGTGAAGATGTCCTCATGGAAACTTCCAGTTTTACTGTCTACTTTACAATTAGCCCCCAATTTAAACCTAAATTTTCTTGGTATTTTTACCCCCACCCCCTTACTTTCTTTTCTATTGAAGTTACTTGTGTCTAGGTCTTCTTATCTTCACCTACACCATTTTACTAGTCTTCCTACTTTATTGACGGATGTATTAACCTCAAAAGCTATCCTATATTTATTAGAGGGTTAAAGCTCCCAAAAGTTTTGCTTTGCATTTGTTACTCCTCGGTTTAAAAAGAGTCAAAAGCTAGTTTGGCTTCTCAGGACATTCTTAGACTGGGTCCAGATCTGACTTTTGTAGCCCATGAGGTTTGCATATCTGGGCCATGCTCTCCTGCTGTATACTACGTGTATTTTTTTATTGCACTTTGCTCAGGAAGCTCTTAGCTTGGGACGTGTTCATTTCTACACTTTCCTAAAAGCAACCCTTTCCTCAAAACCCCCGCCAGGCTTACTTCCCACATAACGCTTTTCACAGCCACCAGAACAAAAACGGCCCCCTCCCTCCCGAAGCCCTGTCACGTGTACTGTGTTCTGTAATGTAAGTGCTCCTCTGCTGTCCTCTGAGAGAACCTCTGCCATAGAATTTACCCTAGGCTTAGATAATTGTTCTTTCAGGGTTGCAGTTGTTGTTGACATTACGTTTTATATTTTGTTTTATATTTTTCATTAAACTATGAGTTCCTTGATGGCTGCGTTACCAGCGCTTTTTCTCTGTGCATCTTTAGTGCCGAGAAGGGGAACATAGTAATTATCTGACTGATGCTTACTAGAAATGAATTAAGTAGAATCAACCACTTATATACATTTATTTGTAATATTTTTATCTTTGTATGTAACCTTCATCTCATCAAATTTTCAATGTCTTCGACACTTCAGTGCTTCAGTTCTGTAATATAAACACTTGGAGAATAAATCTCATAGTTAATCCCTCTGGTATCCCTGTGCCTAGTACCATGTCTTGAAAATATTACAAAAAAAAGGAATGTTTGTCAATAGCCTGGCTTCACAGAAAGGAGATATCTGAGTAATGGAGTGAGTCGTTTCTATCTCTATTCAAAACACAAAACCAAATTGGGAAATCATATTTTTCCCTAAAACAAATTTTGAAAAAAGTAAGACTATCATAAAAATCTATTTTTCCATACAACCTTATGGCCTATGAATTTATAATGCACAATATTTCAAATGTGCTTACTAATACGTTTACTTCTTTCCTCACATGTGATAGAGTGCTCTCTTCCTCTCCCCATTGTTTATGAGAAATGCTTAAAAATAAGTCAAAAACTGTAGCCTCTGTCTGGCACTGAGCCATCCACCTAGTACCAGATTGTCCCTTTGGTTACATTTTTCTTTCTCAACAGTTTATATTTACACACTTTCTTTCCATTTAAATTATAGCTCCTCCACAGTTTGTGGTTAGGCCAAGAGATCAGATTGTTACACAAGGTCGAACAGTGACATTTCCCTGTGAGACTAAAGGAAACCCACAGCCAGCGGTGTTTTGGCAGAAAGAAGGCAGCCAGGTGAGTGTGAGCATCCACTGCTTCTGTGAACCCCCCGTCTTTGGTGAGCCCCAAAGTTTGCTTTGTCTTTCTTGTTATCAATGTTGAATTTACTTTGTTTCTAAGAATGGAACCGATTCATTTTAAAATAAGTGGGAATTAGATGTTCCAGTGTTGGTTTTCTAAAATTCTGTATCTTATATAGAATAAATACAATTCCATGTAACAAACGATCTTTAATTCTAGTCAAAACCTGTCACTATTTAAACTTTCTGAACAGAAAGTCATTTCGTTTTCTTGCACTGAACTACCCTGGAATGGTGAGACAACATACAGCACTGAGAACATCCTGTCAATATACATTTCCGTTATTAAATTGCCAAGAAACAAATTGCAGTTACCTTTGCTAGGTAAATAGTGTAAATAACTTTTTCTTTATTATTAAGTTAAGCATGCTTCCATTTAAGTGTGGGAAAAAAGATTTTGTTCCATCATCCTTTCTAGATTTCCTTCACAGTAGGGTTGGACAGACAATAATACATTACAAACTGGAAGCAACTAACACTTTGGTCTTTGCTGTGCGCTGGTTTATCCTCTCTGAGCAGCAGGTTTCTCAGATTCTCTGCTAAAATTCAATTGGATGCACAATTTTTCTCATTTAAGACTTGGTCCAAACTGTAATGAACACTCAGCCTGGAGGTGCTGTAATTATGTTTGGAATTTCCAGCTTCAACCAGATCAGAAATTGGGTTCTTTGTCTAAGAACTTATCTGTACATTCCTGAAGGACCTAGAGATATTTTTTCTAGATGTTCCAGGACCATCGCCAAGGAGACATGTAGTTCTCAGGAAGAAGCCTATAGTGCTCCTCCTCAGCACCTTCTGCTATTTGGCCAAGTCCTGGGAGAATTTTCTGAGGAACAATGGAAACCACTGGAAGGCACTTTTATCAGGAAATCGAAAAACTTTGATTTTAGATACGTATGGGGAATTGCCATAGCTTTATTAAGAGAACCTGTTGCTCAGAACTCAGGCATGATCATCTGGGTAGAGAGGCATCAGGAAGTGCCCTCAGTGGTCTTTTTAATTCTTGTGGGCTCCTATCTATTCCCGTTACACCCCAAACTAGCAGTTTTATAAAACTTGACCTGGATGGACAAATTGTCTCTCCTCCCTTCCTGAATGCACCTGATGCAGTCACTCCCCTATGATCTGTGGGGTGTAAAATTAGTGATGGGAAGATAATATAAAGTGCTGACCACTGCCTTATCTAACATTGGAACTGTTTCAGGCCTTATTTCCTATCTTTTTAAAAATCACTTTGTAACTACAAAATTGATATCTACACATAGAGTTCCCCAATTCTTCACTTAAACATTGATTTTGGATAAAAGCATCACACACTCTAAACTCAGTGTTAAACAACATGACCTTAGCTATAACACACACACACACACACACACACACACACACACACACACACACGAAAAGGAAAGAATTCTAAAGCCATTTTTCCTCTTGTGAATGTACAATCTTTGCAGCACTATTCATCTTTACTGAAATTTTCTCAACCTAAAATATGAGGATAATACATTTTACTTCACATAAGTTATGGAGATGTCATAATTTAGTTAGTTTATATAGAAAAGTGCCTTACATATTATGAAGGTCAACATGGTATTATTTCTAACATCTAGTTAGAAATGGGAAATGCAGAATGCACCCGCTCCCCACTGAGTCCTGGCTACGTGGCAAGTTCATGCTTCTGCTCAGGTGAAGGCTGCAGGGCCTGAGGTCTTCCTCCGCCCAGACACTGTTGTCCAAGACCAAGGAGAGGCTCAGCACTGCTCCGGTCCCCTCTGCCCCCAGACCCACACAGGCCTGGGAAGGCTGGGGCCGGGAGAGAAATAAATATTATTTATTTATAAACGATGCAGGTAACATGATGTAAAACAATTTGATTGTGGCAAATCTACACTGTAAATCCATGTATTGAGTCAAACACCATTGTAGCATGTTTTGTTATTATATAGATACAGCTATATCATGTGTGAATCCCATGCCCTGAAATAGCTCCAGGTTATAAGATATTGCATAAAATGTGCTTTGTTCCCATGGCCAAATAAACATGATATTTTAATATGCTACATGGTGTTTTAATGGTGCTGAAAAAGTAATGATTAAATAACTTCAGAACATTTCTTCTTCTGTTATTTGACAAATCCTTATGTAATTCCATAGACGTTAAATTTTCCAGTTAGATGATCTGATTTGCTTATAATCTTAGGTCTGTTTTTTTTTCCTTCTCTACCTGTCTTCCTCACATCAGAGAGAGAGAGAGAGAGAGAGAGAGAGAGAGAGAGAAGAGAAGTGCTGGAGCAGATTGTAAAATTTTAAATCATGAATTGGGGTATCAGGAAAAATAAATTGGTTTTACTATCTCCAGTATCCAATTTTTGCAGTGATCTATGACAATCCTTCAGAAGAGAGAGTTAAGAGCCTGGACTTAATGGTCCGTATTCCTCAATATGTGCTGATAATGCCAATTAGCACTAATAGGATACCCGGGCACTTCAAAGCAAGAAGAGCTCTGTAAAATTCTGGGTTTTGCTTGTAATCCATTATCTTTTGCCTAAGTCATACAAGCAGGGAATAAAAGATGATGGGTTAACCTCAATCATATGTCATTTTCCATGTCAACGAATCATTTAGAAGGTGGACTAATATTACATTGTAGAGGAAGAGATCCCAGAGAGAATTAAACCCATCTAATGTATTAGTGCTATGTAAATCAGTATTCTAATGGCTAATTGTAGGAAAGTGCACACTTTGAGTTATTGTATCATTTTCAAGTGGCTTTAAAATTTAGACCCTTCTCTTTCAGATGGTTTATTTCAGTAATATATCTGGATTCCATGGGAGAATTAGCTTGTTCAAAAATGATGTTTCATATGATAAAAATGTCTATCCTTGTATAGTAATACAAATTTTATAACAGGGCAATGGCATTTTGAAATTATGCTCCTGACATGCTAGCAAACATCACTTCTTTTAGAAAGGGTTTAACAACATGGTAATGTTTATGTAAAGTGGGCTTATGGTGTCACACTTGAATCTAATAAAGTGGACATCCATCATGTTGCAATAAAGAGAAGAGCTTCTAATTAAAGTAGGACATCATTCTCAGGATTAAAGTCATTTAGCGTAATTGAAAAGTGTTAATACCCTATTTTATCCTCTTCCATTGGTATTACTTCAAGGGTAAAAAACATTTTAAGGTGAAATGTGTCTTATGCCTTTAATTGAATGTTATTATCTTCTTATTTTAACGTATTGAAACTGTTTAATTACAAACCTGGAAAATTAATTACTATATTGAGAAACAGATCGCATAGGGTTATAATGTCTGTTTTGTAAATAAATACAACATAAAATTGATATGTTCTTATTTATAATCCATCTTGGAAATATATCTCAATATAATTTATTACACCCAAATGGTTTTCTTAATTGAGTAACAGTAAAGCAACATAGGTCATGGCAGTTAATATCCCTGCTCTCATATGAAAACATTTTAAAGATTGTGATTAGTCTGCTTATATTTAATATGAGATAAATAGTAAAATAACTTAAGAAAAAGTATTATTATGAAATTTTTTAAGATTGCACACATACTTCAGAAAGTCTTTATCTTCTCTTTATTTTCTTTGATTTGCCTATTAATCTTGCTTGGCCTGCAGCATTTGTTCATAGTTCACTTTGAGGCTCTTAGGATACGTAGAAAACTTACCGCACAAGTAGATTGGGCTGTGTGTCAGTCTCAGTAACACATTTTTTGTCACATCGTTAGGAGAAATTTTGATAATATCAAATACTAAAAATGATCAGCAGAAAATATATTTTGCATTCTTTAGTAATGTGCAGCGTATAAAATGTATGCATAGTTGATGTTTCATTACATATCCTCACTTTCTTATGAGTTGAGTCAGATAAGCATTATTATGCCCATTTTACAGATCAGCAAACCATCTTTTAAATATATGAAGTAATTATCAGAAAGTTAGGAAAAGATGAAACTGCTAAGATACTTATTTTTTAAAGACGATTGTGCCTTCAACTAGAGCATGCTGGCTTTTTAGAGCATATTATTTTTCCATCATTTGCAAAAAGTTTCTCAGTAAAAATCACAATGTGCCATTAAATTTTTTCAATACTATGTGTTTTTTTTTATTAAACCTACGTATTTTCTTTTCCAACCATATTCCCATAACTGCAATAGCTATTGTTAGTGTAATTTTCCTTCCAAGTGGGAAAAGAATATTGATGAGATTGTGTTTGCTTCCACAGAACCTGCTTTTCCCAAACCAACCACAGCAGCCCAATAGTAGATGTTCTGTGTCACCAACTGGAGACCTCACGATTACCAACATTCAACGTTCAGATGCGGGTTACTATATTTGCCAGGCCCTAACTGTGGCAGGAAGCATTTTAGCAAAAGCTCAACTGGAAGTTACTGATGGTGCAGTATTATTAGATTTGTCTTATGGAAATAATGGTTTTTAAAAAATGGTTATTCGTTGATTTTTAGAAAGAGAGAGTAGGGACAGGGAGAGAGAGCGATCAATTTGTTGTTCCACTTATTTATGCATTTATTGGTTTATTTTTATATATGCCCTGACTGGGGAATGAACCTGAAACCTTGGCATATTGGGATGATATTGTAACCTGACCAGGGCATACTTTTTAGTGCAAGATTCACATTAACATGTGAAATGTTCTGATTTGTTAGTTAAATTATTTTAATAAATTCTTATCATTTTAGTTTGGATCTAGATAAAATAACATTTTTAATAGTTTATAATTCTCCTTGATTTAATACCATTTATTTTCCCAGAGAACTTCCAAGATAATCTATTTATTGTTAAAAACATAGTGATGCATTATTTTAAAGACATGATACCACAGTCACATTGTATAGACATGTTCTCTGTATATTTTAATTAGTTTTGTGAAGACATGCTTGCTTCTAATAGATCATAATATTATTTTACTAGAGGAGGAATATAGCATCTTTAATATTCAGTGGAAATGGAGATGGGTTTTTAGTTAGCTAGTGACATCCCATGACTTTTTAATTATACATTCACTGTATTAAATTAATTAAACACCTCAAAACTGCTGTTGGATGCTAAAATTATTATTTCTTTATTTGAACAGATGTACTAGGAATCTTAAACGAAGCACCTATACTCATAGCAAAAGTTGGAAAAGAGACAAGAGCTTTAACTGATTTTTCCCCCAACAGCTTGTCACAAATGACAACTAGGGAGTTTTAGATACTTTTTTAAATCTATGAGCATGAATTTAAGCTCTATTTTTTTGATGCCTTAAATTTTTTTCTGCTCTCCTATATTTGTGAATTTGTGGGTAGTTTTTTTTTTCTTTCTTGACACTATGATTCTGAGACACAAGAGCTTCTGTCTGAGACCTCTCTGATTCTCTTCTGGTGGAATGTGCTTTCATACAATTCACATTTACATGTAGATTAAAAGGTCATTTAAAATTAATAGGAAGGCAATGCTTTGTAATGTTCCTGCTATTGCCTGATTCAGCACATTGGCAGGAATGGAAATAATGTAAATAGAACAGACAAACGTTGGCTGTGGGGTCCTGGGTCGTGAATGGTTGCACTTGCTGCTGCTGCAGAGATTCGCTGCTGCCAAAAGGAAAGAAGCCAGGTTCAGGAAGGATCGGTGCTGAGCTGTTCCTGTAGCTGGACATGACCTTTTACTCTTCATGCGTCCATATTTCCTTAAACTAAATATAATTGTTAATCTTTGTTAAGATTTTAAGTTTTCTACTATGAACAAAATGTCCAGGTACATATACTTGGAAAATCTGATATTCTGGCCAAAGCCAAGTTTTAGTCTACACTATTACAAAACATTTGAAACAACACTTAAGATCTCTATTGCAATCCTTTGAAGATCTTAGGTTATATTATTTTACAAAAGACAGACTCTAAAATATTATTAAATTAAGAAAATTTTATGGAAAAACATATTTGTAGAAAATAAAATTGAGGAATTAGAAAAGTTGGTTTATGGTATGACTGTGGTTCATGAAACAGGTGGATATTCAGAATTATGATTAATATAATGGAACAGAAAATTTTTGTTTTGAGAATTTATGTTAGTTGAGGACATGATCACACAAAAAGCAGTACTTATTCTAACTGCGTTTCTAAGGTCAAAATTAAGACAGTGATAAACAGTTTTAAATCTGGTGAACAAAATGGCTCTGTACATTTTCCTACAACTGGCTTGAACATTAATTACTACATTGATTTTTACTTAAGTAAGCAATCTCAAAATCAAGATCCTTTTTCAAAAACATTGAGTGAAGGTTATAGAGTTATTGATTCTTAGAGTAAAGAAACTTAACTTCAAGGCTCGCACACACATATTATTATTGTAAACAACTCTGTCTCCAAATTTTAACTTGCCACATTGGTTGATGACTTCAGCTTTAGTGTTTTGAATTTTTTTAATTTGGTTAGCAATTTAAAAATGTGTGATCCATTATTTTATTTTCAACATTTTTTGTGAGCATGATTCAGGGCCATTTAGAGCCAATTGAAATTCCAATGAAGAATGAAAGCATATGCCATGTTCTGAGAAACAAGCAAAACATCTATAGCAATGCTCCTGTTGTTATGTTTTTACACTTAGACTTCTTTCTCAGAAATATTTTTAGCTCAAGTGTTCATATAAGATGAGATTGCTAATGGTGATGAAAGGAACTTTTAAATGATAATTTTACTGATTATAGATTGAGATAAGATGCTTCAATATACTTGAGTTTTAAAATATCCCATTAAAATACCTCATTAATTCATTGCTACTGTTCTTCATTTCTTCTTTTCTTCTACACCTTGTCTTTGAGAAAATGAAAATATTGTAATGAGAATTCTATGAGTAGAGTCAATAGAATCTAAAAGGACTGATGGGAAGACATGTACTTATATCTTATATTGACAAAAATGTTACATCACAATCTTATATGACTGATTTATTGGAGATTTATAATGCATAGTCAGAGAAAACCATGGAGTTGTTCACAGATCACTGCAAACCCTAAGTGTTCATTTAACCATTGTCCTTAATGTGATGGAAACCTGTGATCATCTTTCACCCATAACACAATTGAACTGAAAATTCCTTCTGGCCAGGAGAGTTTTAATTACTTTATTGATCAAATTCTTTTAAAATAGGATGAGTGAAATATTTGGGAAGTAAAAAATAGATAAATAAATAAATAAATAAATAAATAAAGTAGATGCATTTTGGCTATATGTAATGATTTCAAGAAAGTGAAAATAAAACTAGGTTATAAGAAGTTCCCTGAGAAGGCCAGGGAGGGTTGGGGAACAGGAGGGAGGGGAGTAAGAGATCAACCGAAGGACTTGTATGCATCCATATAAGCATAACTAATGGACATAAGACACTGGGGGGTAAGGGAGGGCAGGGGTTTGTCAAGGGCGGGGGGGAAAAGGACACTTATGTAATACCCTTTGTAATACTTTTAGCGAAAAATTAAAAAAAAAAAGAAGTTTCCTGAATTCTATATAGATATTTAATTTGAAACAGTTATTTAAAACTCACTAAATAGTATCTACTCTGCTACTACAGAACTATTTTTCTTGCTGAATTTAAAAATTATAATGTTTTATGAATTGCCTTTCCTGTTTTGGTCCATGAAGTAAATAAATTCTATGGAACTTCCCATTTGAATATCTAATTGCCCAATTATCGCCAGAGGTGGCATAATTGATATGATATTGTACGTTCACATTCTCTGATGATTATTTTATTTACTTTTAAAGTAAATAATTTGATTAAGGAAATCAGTAAAATAATAGGTCTAATTTGTTTTGTAAAGAATACGTGAGCAGTATTTTATTGTTTTTCTTGAGTTTTTATAAGATTTTCTACATACATACACACATACATACATGCCTGCACACAGATTTTAATGTATATTTTGATGTAGTAGGTTTAGGTTGGTTGAAAATCTACTACATCTTTCCAGGCAAGGGACCAATATAATAACTTGCATCTTTAATTAAAATTGATTGGTTTTCTCATGATAGGCTCTAAAAAGGCTGCTTACTGTATTGCTTTTTTCTCAGGACTGTAAAGAATAGAAAAAAAGATGATGCATATAGGTTGAGAAATAATCATATACTGGCATTTATAGAAACTGATAGACAAAATGATTAGAAGATTGATAAGCAATAAGACTATTTTATTATGAACATTGTAATATAACATGATCTTGAGAAAAACTCTCTTCACAATTGCTTAGTGGAAATAGAATCCACTATAATTTTATATATAAACTAAATAATAGTTCTCATAGTTCAAGGGTCAACAGTGTATGTGTGTATTTTGAAGAAATGGCTAAAATTATATAAGATCAGCCTGGAGCATCTTCTAGTATCAGAAAGTAAGGAAGTACTCAGAAAAACAAAAACAAAAACCCACACATTGTTGGGGGTTGGAGGTAGATGTCAAAGGAGCACAGGAGCCAAATAAATGAGCACCCAAAGGCCAATGTAGAAATTTGAGCAGCAAAACAAATGAAGTGGTATTGGAGTATAAGTCAAAATATAAAATAAATATGCATGAGTACATATTGATAAAAATATGGTTAAATAAATTAATAAGTGGAGACGAGACAAATCTTCTGTGCACGATATTTCCAAATATTTTTGTAAATACTCTGCCCTCAAGGAAGTGGAGCATAACTCCCCACTCTTTACGTGTGGACTACTTAGAGGCATTCCTCCCTGAGGATACAGCTATGAAAAGGGGTAAATTTAACTTTATGGTGGAGAAACCTAACAAACACCCCTCAGCCAGGTGATCACAGTGAGCATCAACAGTGGTATGTCTTTTTTATAAATTTACAAAATATGTCCCCCTCACCCATCTCTCCCATACCTAAGCGCTTCCCTGCCTCTGGCAACTGTCATCTTCTGTATCTATGGTCTTTTTGTGTGTTTGCTTGCTTGTTTGTTCTAAATTCAGGTACAATTTAAAAATTGATATTTATTTTTTCAATTTTAAAACATTTAATTTATTATATATATTTTTAAAACATTTAAAAATACACACAACACACACACACACATACACACACACACAGTTGACCCTTGAACAATGTGTAGGTTAGGGGTACTGACCTTCTTTGCAGTTGAAGATCCATGTATAACTTTTGACTCCCTAAAATTTTAACTAATAACCTACTGTTGACCGACAGCCTTACAGATAAAATAAATAGTTGATTAACATATGTTTTCTATGCTGTATTATATATTGTATCCTTACAATGAAGTAATCTAGAAAAAAGAAACTATTATTAAGAAAATAATATATATGCATGAAATAAAAAAACATATCTTGGATAATTAACCAAAATCTTTGTTTAAGTTTATAGAACTTTCTCTTAATTCTAAGAATGTTTCCTTTGACCTGGACATGTAAGCTTGCCTCCATTTGACTCCATATTTTCATTACCCATTTAAATAATACTATATATTCTGATATATTTCCTAAATTATTACAAAATACTTCTAAAGACACTGAAGATAAAATTTAATTAAAAACACACTGAAATAAAAGTTGAAATTATGGAAAATTTATCCAACAAATACAGGAATTGATAGATATGTAAACACTATTGAAAACCCAATGTTTGTTATACCATAAATAAAGTCTAATTAGATTGCTTATCTTTGCTTAATTGTAAGGACCAATTAAGTTATATCATCCAAATTATGTTACTATAATTTAAAGACTCAATAACAATTTTGGATATAAATTTATAATCAAATATTTTGACATCAACAGAAATATTATAGCCTATATACATAAAGCATGTAACTAGTGATAGCAAGGGTGAAATTATGTATTATGCATATATTTATAATAAAATAAAAGTGAAAATTGATTCTACTCATGTATCCTCCACTGTCTTTCTTAAATATGCATATGAGAGATAAAACAGACATTTTATGATGGCTGTAATAAGCCATCCATATTTTCATTTTAATATGATTAAGCCTTTCAGTAACAGTAAGCCTTTCTAAAATGTTAGAATTTTATGCCATTAGCATCTTAATCATAGGTAATTCAAAGTTATAAATAATAATATGGCCTCAGTATAGTGTGTACAGATGATAAATGTTTGATGGATACAGAATAAGTTATAAGTAATATTGATTTGGGGGCTTTAACGTTACTTTCTATATCAAGACTACTGAACTTTATAGCAGTTAAAATGTTCTGAAAATATCTTTGTCCTTTAGTTTTAACAGATAGACCTCCACCCATAATTCTACAAGGCCCAGCCAACCAAACACTAGCAGTAGATGGCACAGCATTACTGAAATGTAAAGCAACTGGTGATCCTCTTCCTGTAATTAGCTGGTTAAAGGAAGGATTCACTTTTCTGGGTAGAGATCCAAGAGCAACTATACAAGACAAAGGAACATTGCAGATTAAAAACTTACGGGTAAGTAATGTTCAACTTGTAAGTATCTTTATCTCAACTTATGTACTGACCTAGAGAAAACTGTGTGTGAACTTAAAACCTCATATCCCTGCACATTGCTCTACATTTTATTATGGTCCATGTTAGTTCTTATTGTACAAATGATGAATTCCAATTAGAGGAATATCATTGTTCTTATGTTACTCATAATTTTTAAGCAGACTTAGAAAGTTTTTACTCCTTCATCCAAACCCATCCTATATAATGAAGAGCTAATATGCAAATGGTCGTCACACCCTCACGCAATCATGCCTTAATGGCTGACACTCAACACTAGGGAGAGAGGAATGGGGACCAGGCAGGAACAAATGAGCTTTTGAGAGAGGACTGGGAAGCAGCCAGGCTGTGGCTCGGGAGAGGAACAAGCTGCCTGCCCCACGGTCCCTGGCGCCAGTGGCTGGGCCTGCACCTGTGGCCTGGGAGAGGGACAAGCCGCACACCTCACGGTTCCAGGCACCAGCACCTGTGGCTGTGGCCCGGGAGAGGGATGAGCTGCCTGCCCCATGGTCCCGGGTGCCTGCAGCTGCAGCCCAGGCAAAGCCACCTGCCCAAGGTCCCCTGCAGCTTCAGCCAGCTTGGGCAAAGCCGGCCCAGGTCCTGGGTGCCTGCAGCCATCCAGAGTGAGGGAAGATCAGGTCCTGAGTGCAGAGGTGGTTAGGGGTGATCAGGCCAGCAGGGTAGCAGTTAGAGGAGATCAGGCAGGCAGAGGTGGTTAGGGCTATCAGCAAGGCAGGCAGGCAAGCCATCAGGAGCCAGAGGTCCAGGATTGCTAGAGGCAGTCGGACATCCCCCAAGAAGTCCCACATTGGAGAGGGTGCAGGCTGGGCTGAGGGACCCCTTCCTGTGCACGAATTTCATGCACCAGGCGTCTATATAATAAAAGCCTAAGCGACTTTTATGGCAGAACAACCAGTTGCTATGATGCACACTGACCACCAGGGAGAGATGCTCAACAGAGGAGCTGCCCCCTGGTGGTCAGTGAGCTCCCACAGGGGTAGCGCTGCTCAGCCAGAAGCTGGGCTCAAGGCTGGCGAGTGCAGCAGCGGTTGTGGGAACCTCTCCTGCCTCTGCAGCAGCACTAAGGAGCAGTGAACCCAGCAGTAGGGAGCCTGCTGCTAAGGAGCAGCGAGCCAAGCAGTAAGGAGCGATCAGGCAGGTGGTAAGGAGCGAGGGGTCCTGGACTGCAAGAGGGATATCCGACTGCCAGCTGGGGATCGGTCCTAAGCCGACAGGTGGACATTTCCCCGAGGGGTCCCATACTGTGAGAGGAAACAGGCCAGACTGAGGGACCCCTCAGTATGTACATAATCCATGAAATTAAAAATCTTAATTACATAAAGTTAATGATAGGAATAGAATATTTAAATAATTTTAAAATGACAAATACATCTGATTTAAACTCATGAACAAAGGACATTAATAAGGAAATGTGGATAAATTGGCTTGACCAAACAGCTGTGTGGAAAACATAAAGAGATGAGACTGAATAATAGGAGACAGGTTTAACTAGTTCATAAAATATCTTACATTTTAGGTTAAGTTGCTATAGAGTTTAAATGTAAGCCTGTGGACAAGAATAAGCCTTGTTGGTCTTTTAACAGAGGATGCCTGTTCCTGCCAACTTAAGTAAGTTACACCTGCTTCAGGATCAACTCAATCAAAATAAATGTTTACTTCTGAGTATTGTATTAGCTATGTACTACTGTGTAACAAATCAGCGAAAACATAGAGGCTTAAAGCAATACACATTTACTACCTCACAATATCTGTGGGTTAGAAGCCTGGGCATGACTTAGTTAGGTTTTCTTCTTTAGGGTCCAAAAGTCTATAATCAGGTGGGTCATCTCATCTGAAGATTGACTTGGGATAGATTTGATTCCAAGCAACATGATAGCAGCAGCACTCAATTACTTGTGACTGATGACTTTAGCATCTTTCTTACTGTTGGCTGCCTTTAGTTCCTTGCTATATGGATATTCCCAATGTGATTTCTTGCTTCCTCAAAGTCAACAAGAAAGAGAGTCTCCTAGCAAGAGAGGCATTGCTGTTCTAGCAGCATGATCAGAAATATGACATCCTGACACCCTTGCTTAATTCTGTTGGCAAGAAGTAAATCAACAGGCCTTCCACAGGCAAGCTGAGGGATTATACAAGGTGTAACTACCGAGAGGATATATCATGGGGGTGACCTGCCCTTCAAAAATATATTCAATTCATTCAACCAAATATAGAGAGCCTCCCTTTATGCAGCAAGCACTATGCCAACACTTGAATGTATATTATAGTAATCAAAAGATTGGGAATGAGAGCCAGCACTAAGATGGTTGACGTAATAGTGCACAAATAAAAAATCAATTGAAAATGATTCAGTGGAAGAAGAGTTAGTAGAATCTGGTCTTTGGGGAGAAATTAGGAACCAAGATGAAGATAAAAACAAAGCAAAAAAAACCAAGAAACAATCCTGAATTTTCCCTTTTACAATGCTCATAATGTTCACTTACAATGCCAAATTATTTGCAATCATACACTTAGTTTGTATTTATCAGTATATCATACAGATACATATACAAAAAGGAAAATTTTCTCTATTTTTACATTGTGTGTGCACACACAGACACACAAATATTCAATATATTAAATGCATTTTTATTTTAAGGCACAAGCATTAATTATTGCTCAAAGTAGGAAAAAATGCTTTTTAATTCAGTTAAAAGAAAAATAAATTAATATAGATTTTAGCCTGTCTTTTTATTGATTGTAAATTAATTGTTAACCTTCTATGAACAAAATGGGAGTTATTAAGAAATTAATGCCAACTCCCCTTGAGTAAACATTTTAACCTCTCTCTCTGTGGGCTAAAGGCAGACTTGGGCCATGGAGGTTAATGCAGTTTCACTGTACTGCTGAATTAGAGGTTGTGCTTGAATGGTCAGGATCCCAAGTAATGTTTGAAAAAAGCAATTAAAGGTGGGTGCTTGATGATGTCAAACTCTGAGCCCTCTGACAGACTCCTGAGTAGTCTGTCTGAGATGCAGGCTCCTGGGGGCTTGTCTGCAGCCAACTGCACAAGGAGTACAGTAGGTGACGGAGGCTGACAGCACATGAATCTCTTTTTAAAGCACTTGCTTAAGGATAAAAGGAAACGGGTGGGAAAGCCTTGAAATGCCTGTGATCAGAAAAGACATTATTTAAAGTTGAAGGAATAAAAATGAATGTGATGATGATGATGACATAGGAGTGACTTTTAGCAATGAGATTTAGGCTTTTGATAGCACTTTTGCTAAACTCAAAAAAATGATTCTCTTTCTGTAATATGACTGTCTTTAAAGGGAGATAAAAATGGGTTTTGCAGTACTTCACTCATATCAAAAGACTTTCTGTAGGTTATATTCTTTTGTGTCTCACTATTTTTTTGATACTTAATGCAAGAGGGGAAATAGAATGATGAACACTGTGTTCCTATAGTTCAGCTAATTGGTTTCTGAATCTGTATCTTTTGAGAAGTAGAAAATTTGAACACTCATTAAAACATATCTACCACAGCTAATGTCAGACTTGTATCTCCCCACAATGACAAGGAGATCTGTTAAGAAGCTTTACCTACATACCCTTCTTTTAGCATTTGCACGTAATAACAAGTGCTACATTTTAGTTCAACAGCTATAATAAAATGCAAATTCTTCACTCTTTCAGAGACCATATTCAAATGAACATCCCATTAAAATCCAACTCAGCTCATTATATTTAGTTTGTGAGTGATGCTTCTTAAATGAACAGATTTCTAATGACTAATGTGCTCAGCCACATCTGAAAGAAGAGCTTTTCCCACAAAGGCTCTCCCCCGTCATCACTTCCATAATGGAAGATAGTTGTATGGAGATAATATTGCGAAGAATGATGTTCCAGAGCAATTTGAACCTTAGGTTAAAATACATAATGACATGTAAAATAAATTAAAATGGAATCACAGTAACATCCATGAACTAAAGATTTACATGAGAATCAATTGTGAAAAGTTCAGTCATCCATACGCTTACATTTTGAACCCAGCAGGTAGTATATTCTATGAACTCCCATATTTCATCAACAATTAGATTCATGTTCACTGCAGAATTTTGATTCTATATTTAACTTGCCTTATTCTGTGTGGTCATCAGTTTCTCTTTCCCGTCTCACTCTTCCTTTAGCCCTAAACTGATACCAATTAATGTTTGCAATGTAAGCCCACAGGGTTCAACCACACATCTTATTTAATCTTGAGGCTTTTGTCAATGCATGATCATAGATTATTATTCATTTTACATTTATAAAATAGAACTTTTGATTATATTATTAATTATTCCTAAAAGTCTTTTGTTATTCTTCAACAAATAACAGAAATATTTTAAGTGATTAATAAAATGGCTACTTTTATGAATACTTATAAAATGAGTTATGTATTAGATTATTTCTGTGGTCTCTTTCAGCTCTAAAATTGCAATTTTCCATTGGCATGAATTGTTTATTTTTTAATGATATAATTATATTCCATTCACTGTTATACTGCTACAATTTAAATATAGATGGATACTGATCTCTTTAAAGGGAAATATTTAGTATTTTTAATTTTTTAATACTTCCAACAAATTATTTTAAACATTTTAATTCTCTCCCCACCTTGCTCACTAGATTTCTGATACTGGAACTTATACTTGTGTGGCTACAAGTTCAAGTGGGGAGACTTCCTGGAGTGCTGTGCTGGATGTCACAGGTGAATTCTTTGTGAATTATCTTCCCAGAATTTATCTTCTCAAGAAATCTTGCATGCATTTTAGTGATTACCTCATTATCAAATACCAAGTTAAGAAGAGATCAATATTTTAAATTCATTAAATGTAAAAATTGTCATGCCACTTTTTAATTCCTGCACCTCTTACACATAGCATCGCAAATATGCAATTTGATACATTTTTTCTTGACAACCTTATTTTATTTTCTCAATCTAAAGAGAAAGCAATCCTAATGATCATGTGGGAAAGCAAACATTTAGTAACATGTAGGAAAAGCAAATGTTCACTTATATACTTTTGTTCACTGACTAGGTCACTTATGTAATATACGATTTTTCTTTTTTAACCATAGTCGTCAGCATATGCATTCAGGAATGAAGCTTTTTCTGTTTGTCCTCTACAGAATCTGGAGCAACAATCAGTAAAAATTATGATTTAAATGACCTGCCAGGACCACCATCCAAACCACAGGTCACTGACGTTACTAAGAACAGTGTCACCTTGTCCTGGCAACCAGGTACCCCTGGGACCCTCCCGGCAAGTTCATATATCATTGAGGCGTTCAGGTATGGGATACTTCCTATGTTCTCCATTGGGTTTTGCTTTAGTTCATATGTTCTCAAATCTCCTGCTTTTTTATTTTAAGGATGTGATCAATCAGTACATTTTAAGAATTTACTTTAAATCTGACTTTATTCAAGAATAGACTTAAGTGTGTTTCTTTTTCATTTTAACCTTAATTATAAGATTAAATATGTATTATCCCTGCCTAAGTTTATAGGAATCTAATTATGACATAATCACATAGCTCCTTTGTTTACCCTGTCCATTATAAGGATTTAAGATGAGAATTTCTGCATTAGAAGTAAGCAGAAAATAATTTAATTAGGCACAAGGACCTTTTAAGTTATGCAATGTTTATTGAGGCACAGAACCTGGAATTTTGCTTCCTAATACTTACAGCAGAACTTAAAATAATTCCATTTAAATACATATTTAAATACATCTATTGGTTATGCTTAAGACAAAATTAAAAACTACAACTAAAAAATTATTGTATGTATCTCTGGTTGCTGAAAGTAAAAGATATGTTTAGTTGTTACTTGAAATAATTGTTATCAGTTTAAGGATATAAACTATAAGCTAGCAAATGTCATTATAAAAAATGTCTTATGGGAATTTAATAAAATACAAATAGGAAAATGTAGTTTTGTATTCAGTTTCAATGTGCTTTTATTTGCCATTATAAAGATAGTGATGGCCACTGTCCTTTACAAGCATTAAGAAAAATGCTTAAGAATGCTTTCATTTTAGTTTCTTATAGTCCATTTAATGGAATGATGAGCACCTAGTTTTCAAATTTCAAAATACATTTTTCTTTAATTCCCATGCTTTGATGCAAAGGACTTACTTCTGAAAAATTAATGGAAGGTGCTGAAAATTGCATTTTCTCTTCATTTTAAACAAAAGGAATACTTGATCTCAAAGTGCTGTATACGGGCATGCTGTCTGTAACTGGCTGTAAGGGGTTCAGAGATAGGTCCTCATTCCAAGAGGACCTGTCATGTATGATTTTATTAAAAATGTGACCAGTGGAAAATACTCATCCAATGCTTCCTTCCTTCTTTTACAGATATGTAGTTTTAGAAGGCTTTATTATAATATTGCATGTGGAAATGATCAAAAGAAAACACACCTTGTAACAGGAAAATGTATTGGCATAATTTACTCTGTAGTCCATTTATTCTTTCTACAGGTTAATTCTTTTCAAGGTATATATATATATATACATTTATGAGGACCATATTTATTGTATAAACTTGATGTTGTGATCTTGGCCTCTGTTCCTTTTACAGGTATTCATTTAGTGGGCTGCTGTGCATTAGCAAAGGGCTGTTACATCTCCTGGGCTGAGTTTAATTTTGTTGTGCATGGCACTTTCGTTAGGTGGGCTTGGCTTTGTTGTTGTATAAACTGAAATCATCCAAATGTTTCATTTATTGGGCTGAACACTCCAAGTGTTTTTTGTGTGTGTATGTGTGTGTGTTTAATTTTCAGCCATTAACCTTTGTCATTGATACCCAATTCCATTTCCAGTACCTTTATGACTGCACCTTAAATGAAATTTCTGTTCTTGTTTCAGCCAATCAGTGAGCAATAGCTGGCAGACAGTGGCAAACCATGTAAAGACCACCCTCTATACAGTGAGAGGACTGCGGCCCAATACAATCTACTTATTCATGGTCAGAGCGATCAACCCCCAAGGTCTCAGTGACCCAAGCCCTATGTCAGATCCTGTGCGCACACAAGGTAATTTCAAGAGCTGTAAATATGACTGGCTCTAGAAGGAGGCGTTAGCACATCTGTAAGAACAAAGGGATTGCACCAGGAAAATAAATGTGTCTGTATTACTTGTTATAATGATTCACTAGAACTGACCCAGTCTGCGGGGAACATGCTGTGCACCTTGGTGAGTGTATTCTCTTTCTTGAGGTGTCAGGGTCTATTTAGCACCAAATAAACCAAATAATTGAATATATTCACATAGCAAGAGTGAATAAACTAAGGCTTTACTATATTTCAAAAGAAGGAAAAATATTTCTCCTTTTTTTGAAATTAATTATACAGTGATCTGGAATGGATAAGATGCCCAGATAAAGACATCATTACTCCCTACTGTTTAGAAATTCTGCTTCTATAGTGCAGTGGGTCTCAAGGTGTGGCTTCCATGGAAGCAACATCTCATCACCTGAGACCACGTTAGAAACACAGGTGCTCAGTCCCCGTCTCAGATGCTCTGGGAGTGGGGCCCAGTAGTCTGTGTTCAGGTGCCTGGCAGATGTTACTGATGTTTTTGACAATTTTGACAGCCATCGCTACAGTGTATTTTATTAAACCAGAGATTTAAAGGAGCAATTTGTTTCAGAAAGGAGTAAATCAAGTTTTCTTCCAGAGGTATGTAATTCTTTTGACTAATTAAAAACAAAAAAAAACCTACCCAGAACATTATAACAAGATGAAATGAAAGGTATCGCATTTCATTTTTAGTAGCTTGTCTCTTCAAAATGAAAAGTCACTGGAGTCTAAGGATTAATATAAGAGGTGGCATTCTAATTTCTCTTCCTACTAGTAGACAAAGAGAATTAATAAAATAGAAATGGTTGCTTTATTATTTGTTAAAACCTATTCTCTACAGAGTTCTTGAGAAAGGGTTAATCATTTCTTATTTGTTAAAGGCTTTGAACAAGATATAATTCAAAGTAGTATTTTTATACTATGAAAAGCACCATACAGCCATAAAATATTATTATAATTATAATGTAGTTCAGCAACAGTTACTAGCATGCTATTATAACAGAGAAGGGCACCTATAAGGAATCAAGTGAAATAAAGTTACCACGTGATTTTTGTAATGTTGCTGACATGATGACAGTCAAGGGAGGGGGAATGCCACTTGCTATTGTTCTGGAAGCAGTAGTGTGATTAATTTTCCATAATGATAAAGGAGCTGTAGGTAAAGAACCTGTCTCAAGAGAGAGAAAAAGCACAACAAGGAATTTGAAGACCTGAAACTGGTTATATTTTACCTTGCCTGGATCCAATTGCTCTTAGTGTGTCTAAATTTAATGAGTAAACTAAATTAAATTATAGAACTTAAAGAGGAAAAGGTGTATGGTTTAAATTCAGAAAATAATAATACCTAGATCATTTCACCTGTGTAGGTGAAAACGGGCAGTTTCTGTGTGCAGCGGTGAGGGAAGGTGGAGAGATAACAGAATGTGGAAGCTTGTGGTGTGATTAAACCCGAAAACCTGCATCATTCAATATCTGTGCCAGTCACTACTTCTCAACTCATAAAATAATTTCTTGGTGAAAAGTAAAGCAAAACAAAACATTAATGAAAAGTTGTTTGTGCTCTGACTTGTTCCAGCTGAGAGATTATATGAAGAAAAAATGCTTATATTCTCTTAACAGGTGTTTAATAGGAAAACACATGTTTTGGGCCTGAATATCAGGATCATTTTTGATACCACTTTCAGCAGCTTTGCTATTTGAAAAGCTCTTCTTTTCAAAGAATGCTTTGCTGTATGTGCTCTTATTTTTAAAAGATATTAAATACCATATAAATAAATAAATACCATAGAATTTAGAATTATTTTAGTAAGGCAGCAAATACTTGCACCATCAACATCACAAGAGTAGACCATAGGTATATCCATAAAGGTTAACATTATTGACCTAATATTATTATTTTTTTTGTTTTAAATAAAACTTGAAATGCTGTTTATGTTAAGGATGAAAAAAATGGAACTGGAAAAATGTCACCAAAGTTCAGGTTCCAATTATTGCTGCCCCAATTTAAGTTAGTGCACCCCATTTAAGTTATGACTGAGATATGTACTTAAAAATATTTTTTCAAGAATGTAGTATTGTGGCCTGAGAAAATAAAAGAAAAGAAGATTAAGAAAATAAATCAATTAAAATTGGACTTTCTTTCTTAAATAAGGTAGCTGGAGAAAAAAATCAATATTATAGTACACCAGTTAAAGAAGCTGATTTGAGTATGTGTAAAATTCAGTGTTTGATATCAATTCAATGGACTTAAATGTCTATCATTTATATATTTTAATGGACATACACTATAAACCATTATATATATGGGACAATAGAATAGTATTTAAGTGAATGGTAAGTAAGGGGCCAGAACAATGTATGGCTAAAGATATATCATTCTAAACATCGAAAATCTGTTTTTTCTTCTTTCTTCCCCTGGGCCATATCCCCTGCAATAGTTTCAAAAACGTTTTGTTGGATATTGGAGCACTGCTCAAACTTTATTACTTTAGAACATTTATCAGTATTTTAATTGTTTTGGTCAAAAGAATTGTTGTGAATACTGGGGGCTTCTTCCCCTTTTCCCCTCACTTTGTTTACCTTTAATAATATACTTCAAGTTTCCAGTCCCTCTGAGTACTTTTCTTCCCTAGTCTGAAGTAGGTCAAGTAGTAAAACACACAATTTACTAATTGGAAAAAATATTAAATAAATTCCCAAACAGCAGTTTTCAGATATTACCCATTAACTACTCACGAAAATCTTTTAACATCTATATAAAACTGATGTTTCCAGAGAAGTCTTACAGCACATTCTTTATTCTTTAATAAGAAAATAATGAGACTTTCCACAACAATGTATTTGAATGGGGTGAGGGATTGCATACACTCTTTTATTAATATTATTATAATGAAGATAAATATAATCCTTTAAATTATATTTTAGCATGGTGGTAGTATAAAAATACTCTTTAATGTTTTTGTCACAAAGATTTTTAAAAAATTTTCCCCTGTAATTATTTCTAATGGCATATTATTAGCTTATATAATATACATTGGAATTTTACTATGAATTTTTAAAATTTGGGAATGATTGTCTACCTGTAGATATCAGCCCTCCAGCACAAGGAGTGGATCACAGACAAGTACAGAAGGAACTAGGAGATGTCATTGTTCGTCTTCATACTCCGGTTGTATTGACACCCACGACTGTTCAAGTCACATGGACAGTAAGTTCTGAAAGGCTATGTTAATAATAGTCTCTTTTTTTTTTCTTTAAGAAAACAAACCAAAGAAGAAAAAATAAGTCAACAACCCAAAAAATGGTAATAAAACTCTTACCATTTAAAAATCAATGTGTAACCAATCACACAAAAAAGAAAAGGATCCAATAGATGAAAGAATAAATATAGGAAGGAAAGATTGATTGCAGTATAAATGAAATATGTTCGGTCTTCTGAACTTTAACAGGTTTATTGAGATAGAATTTATATACCAAAGTTAAAATGTACAACTTAATGGTTTTTAGTATACTTACAGAGTCATACAATCATCACCAAAATCTGATTTTAGGACATTTCATCATCCCAAAATTAAATCTTGTGCCCATTAGCAGTCCCTTCTCCATTCCCTTCACTTGAGCTTTTTGCAACCACTAATCTACTCTCTGTCTCTATAGATTTGCCTATTGCTTTCATAGGAATGAAATGCAATATGTGATCTTTTGAGCCTGGCTTCTTTCACTCAGCATAATGTTTTTGAGGTCCATTCATGTTATAGCATGTATCAGTATTTTGTTCCTTTTATTTCTTAATAGCATTCCTTAATAGCATACAGATACCAGCATATACATCTGTTTGTCCATTCATCAGCTGATACACCTTTGAGTTGTTTCAACTTTAGGCTATCATGAATAATGGTGTCATGAACATTTGTGTACAAGTAAACATACATTTTTATTTCTCTTGATATTTACCTAGAAGTTATTGAGTAATACAATAATGCTGTGTTTAACATTGGATGAACTGCCGACATGTTTTATAAAGTGGTTATACCATTTTATGTTCCCACTAGCAATATTTTAAGATTCCAGTTTTTTCCACATCCTTGCTAATTTCTCTCATATACTCACCAACACTTCTTATCTTGTCTTTTTATTATAGTTATTCTAGTGAATGATGAATAGTATATTATTGTGGCTTTCATTTGCATTTGTTTCATGACTACTGATGTTTCATGTGTTTACTGAGCAATTATATATCTTCCTTAGAGAAATCTCTGTTTAAATGATTTGCACATTTTTAAATTGGGTGTTTGTCTTCTTATTTCAGTCATGTAATAATTCTTTATCTATAGAATACAAATTGTTTATCAGATATATAATTTGTAAGCATTTTCTCCTAATCTGTAGTTTGTTTCTTACTTTCTTAATGGTGTTATTGAAACACAAAATACTTAAATTTTGATGAAGACTTCTTGTAAATTTAAATCAAACATCTTTATATTCTTTTAGCTGAACATCATCCAGCAGCACCAAACATGTACATATATAATTTTAATAAGTTGACATTTAAGTTTAAAAATTAATGGGTTTTAAGAAATAAATTAATATTTTAATATATGCTAAAGTGTTCAATTTCATCCTATATAATAAAAGACTAATATGCAAATAGACCAAACCACAGAACAACTGGTTGCTATGATGCTCACTGATCACAAGGGGGCAGACACTCAATGCAGGAGCTGCCCCCTGGTGGTCAGTGCGCTCCCGGGGGGGGGGGGGGTCACCGATCAGCCAGATGCCAGGCTCATGGCTGGTGAGCTCAGCTGTGGCTGGCGAGCGCAGTGATGGTGGCGGGAACCTCTCCTACCTCCTCGGCAATGCTAAGGACGCCTTGGGGGATGTCCACCTGCCAGCTTAGCAGGCAGACACTCCCAAAGGGGTCCCGGACTGCAAGAGGACACAGGCCAGGCTGAGGGACCCCCCCTTAGTGCATAAATGTCGTGCATCAGGCCTCTAGTGCATTAATAAATGTTAACCTGCCCCTGTCATTTCAAAATACAAAATGTATTGACCCACATAGTAGCCACTTCAGTGGAAACAACAAATACTATAAAAATAGCCATTAATCACATTAAAAAATGCTAACACTTGTGCATGTGCTTGAGTCTACATGTGTGTCTGTTTTGTGAAGAGAGAGGTAATCTTCCCTGAGCCTAATACAGTTAGTGCCAACTTCTCCTTTCTGTCAAAGATCTCTCTGTTACAATTTCTAAAAATCCATAAAGGCATATATCGGGATGATAGAAGGGCATGCATTCTTTCAGTCTTCTGTGTTTGTGATAGACTTTGTATGTTATATAAGTAAAGGATATTTTAGTTAGACATTCCTAGAAGAGTTTTCACTTTAATTATAATCTTAATTAGAAAGTATTTATAATTATGTCTCTATTGTTTTTTTGTTTGTTTTTATTGTAGGAGAATGACTGTAAGTAAAAATAAATAAATAAATAAAAAAGACCAAAAAAACTGAACTACCTTTCCTCCAAGTTTCTTTGGGGAAATAACTGTCTCACCCATTCCCATTAATTTCACCAACAAAGAAAATTGAGGGGAAAAATGATTATTTTCATCAATCTTAATTTATTATATTTGAAATATAGAATACAATGAATAGAATTCTTCCAGTGTCCTCTCAATAATAAATTCATTGAACAAATCCAATCCAACAGCCTTTTTTGAGAACCAATTTTGTACCCAATGTGTGTGTGTGTGTGTGTGCGGGGGCTATAAAAAGAGACACAAATAATGCAAATTCTTTTTTTTAATATTTTTTATTGATTTCAGAGAGGAAGGGAGAGGGAGAGAGAGATAAAAACATCAATGATGAGAGAGAATCACCGATCGGCTGCCTTCTACATGCAAATTCTTAATGACAGTACGCAGGAATAAATGCCATAACAGTATATATGCTCCCTATAGACCGGTTTCAATCAAAGAGGAAGTGAATGATTCCATCCTCAAAAAACAGAAAAGATATTACCTCTCATGTACTTTTCTTTGAGGAAATATGAAGGTCTTACTTATTAGAACGGCTGAAACTTAGAGACATTAAGGCTTTTTACTCTAATTTTATAATTTTATGAAAGGAAACCAATACAGACAGATTGAATAATGTTCCTAAATCCCATGTATATTTATAGGTAAGAATAGCATTAGAATTTCCTTACTTCAAATCTGACACATACATAGTGGAATATTTAATAGTGAATTTCAACATATAATCCTGAATGGGGCATTTTGTTGCTTCTTAAACCACACCATCTGATTGATCAGTCATGGTTTTGGCCCCTAAGTACAAAATTGAGTAATACTTTAACAAAAATAAAACTAAGTTTATAACATTTTAAGAGTAATTATGACTAGGATTACATTGTTTCTAATTTCATTTTTATATAATTTCACATAGACATTCTATTTTCTGCATATAATGGTTTCTATTCTTCTGTTCCTATGAAGGGAACATAATGACCTCATCTTTTTTCCCAATGGCACAGTAGGGTGATTATCTGCCATGCCTCATCCATTTTCTGTAGCTTTGACTAGATACAAAACTAACAAGGCCAAGGATATAGTTGTATTTTTAATAGCATATTTTTACTCATTATCAATTGAAAAAGTCTTATCTGCTCTATTGGGAGTATTGAAGGGGCTTTTTAAAGCTGCTTCTAAATGTGGAAATTATTTGGATAAGAATCAAAGTCATTATGTTCATGAAGTCAATCACTTTAAAAGTCATTGAGTTAAAAAGAATACATCAAATCAGATCAAAACTACAGGTCAGTAGTCTGGGAGTTCGTTCAGGAAAGGGACCTTATCATAGTCATCTTTATATCCCAACAAGATTGTCATTTCTGGTTTTCATATCTCACTCCCTCATGAGCTTGACTTCTGAGAGTCTGGCTATATTTTTAATTTCTGTTTTTTTCAGAGCAAAGCATCATTTATGAAATACCCTTTCAGTAACTGTCTGCTACATGATCAACTCAATTGTTTCATACATGTTTTTATTTTAAAAAAGAAAATGTTTAATATATCACAGAGTATTGCTCCCCATGAGATATGCATGTAGTTGAGAGGTAAATGTAGCGAAATAAAGCCCAACTGGGGGTGAGGTTGGTTATCAAAGGAATTATGACCAACTATTTCATTTCAATGTCCTATTTTCAACTTCCTAAATGTGCATGTCTTTTTAAAATTATTACATTGTTTGAGTTACAGATGTTTTGGGCTTAAGGGGGCAACTATATTCCCCAGCCCATGTGTTTAGATTTGGGACCAAGTGAGAAGGTATCTATAATAGGTGGCAGGATTCATTTACCAAACATACGACATTTGTACTAAAAACAAACAAACAAACAAACAAAAAAAAAACACATGCCCCACAAGGCTAATCTTGAAACAGCAATAGTTAGCAAATGCTACATTCTAAAAATGACTATTTTTATAATGAGGGTAGGCATAAATGATAAGAAAACGGCTGTTTCACAAAGAAATGGCAATAATTATTACATTTAAAAATATTTAATCTGGTGTGTGTGTGTGTGTGTGTGTGGTTCAAGGACAAAAATAATCACAGACTCATTGTCCTTAAATATTACAGCTACAGGAGGTGAAAGAGTGCCCTGGAGAACCAGGCTCAGAATTCAGCTAAGTCCAGACCAGTCACTTAGCAGACTAAGCCCACATAATAAAATTTGTTTTGACTTTTGAGTTTAGGTGGATTTTTTTAATATTGAAAAGATAAATATTAAGCATCTTACTTAAACATTTTAATGCAAGTGATGATATGAGGGACACATGTGGACACCTGTTTTTTAGTATATTTTTTACTTAACAATGATGCTTTATCATTGTGCATCTTTAAAACTTGCAAGTGTTTTAACTTATAGTAGTCCTTTAATTGTGTGTGTGCCCTTGTAACATGGGTGTTATTTGAACAAATTAAGTAACTTGAGACTCAGAAAGTTTGAGACTAAGCTATAACTCAACTGAGACTGAACCTCTCTTCATCATTTCACTTTTTCCTTAAGACAACTCTTTTTTTACTCATATTTCAGAAAATACCAAATTTTAAATTTTTATAAACCCATGGAATTGTGTCCAGACTCATAATCAGAATGGTAATAAAATTAGTAACAAGCATATGACTTAACCTGAAAATGACCACCTGTCAAAATGTGCTTCAGAAGTCAATAGCGTAGAATGCATAGCCAATAAAAATCCCACCTAGTTTTTTAAAGGAAGTGTTGAGCATTTTCATTTTTGCTTCCACCTGTAACAACATTTTTTTTCCAGAAAAGAATGTATTGCAACTGCACATAATCCAGTTGACTATTTAGTTATTAAGTGGGTCATTAGAAAATGCTGGCTGAAGGCATGTACACTGAAGTGAGGAAGGCAATGTTGTATAGTAAACATTAACTTCATAAACTCCCTAAAACACTTAATTAATGAAAACCAAACATGGATAAAACCAATTTACCCTGATTTACAGGCTCCCTTCATCTGGAAACAGCTGCTTAATGTGCTTCTTAAAAACACAGCTTGCTTCTTTCAGTATTAACAAGCTATTATTGTGAGTTATGTCTTTCTTTCAGTATATAAATTCACTTAAAGTGAATGCAGAGAATTTTATAAAATGCAAGTTTAATGTTGTTTTAACATATGCTGTGGTGATATTTTGGAACACTGACAGTTTTGATGAAGGGTATCTCTCTGTGGCTCTCATAAATTTAACTTTTGGCTTTTTAGTTGCCTTGTTTTTTAATGTCAGAACAATTTCTGCTTTTCAAAAATATATGTCCATTGGTGTAAACACAAACTTGTGGCATGGATGAGGATTCAAAGACTATGGCTTTGGCATCAGAACGGGGCTGACTTTTTCATAACATAACCTCACACAAGAGTAGCACCAATATCAGAAAATCATTGAGGGTTAGAAAGCTGTCGGGTGGATAAAGGAATTCTTACTCGATGAGACTCATCTGTGAACTGGAGTTAGCTATACATAGTAACACACATGCCTACTTTTACCAACTTCATGTGTTTTTCTAACTTGGACATTTTAAATACAGAAAAAACTGTTCCTTTGTTCTGTGGTATTTTGACTGTGATTCTGTAAATTTTTTTGAATGCTGCAACTCAAGAGGTTAGATTTTAATACATGAAAGAATAACATTTGATTATAACGTGTTCACAGTTGAATAAAGAAATTTTAACAAGCTGAAATAACCATTTTTATCATTACATATTCTATTTCCTTTCTCCTCAAACTTCATAAAATGAGGTCTTCCACCTCTTCTCCATTAAATTTTACACTTCCTTTGACTGTGAAATATGTCAAGTGAAAGGACTTTTAGAATATGACTAGCAAACTATAATATATGAAATGTTAATTGGAGAAGGTGCTATGGTATTTATATTTGTCAAGCATTTCTAGAAAAATGGTAAGAGATTTAAAAAAGCTAGAAGTCTTCTTCTCCTTGAAAATGAAAAAAATGGTAGTATTCCAGTAAAGATTGTTTCATAAATGTATAAAGAGAATATGTTTCATTTTTAGCTTACATTTTTATGAATTTGGTTTTATGTAATTATTATGAGTGAACTTATTTTTTAAATTTCTATTTGATGTCAGTTTTGAGATTCAAAATCTCAGATTTTCAAGAACAGCTTTTTATCCTCATTTAAGAATGAAAGGATCAAGAAAGTTGTCAAATTGTGTCAGTAGTGGGACTATTGGTAAATTAATAAAAGTCTTTAATATCTGTTGAGGGCTATAAACTGTTTTATCCATTTAGAACAGATGCTCTAGCAACACAACTTTTGGACTCTCACATGCTTCCCCATCAACAGGAATTGGACACGTGCCAATCCTGCTCTTCCACTGGATAGATCCCACTGTCCTTGTAGATCTTAGCACTCCTTCAGGGAAACTTCATCTTCTCTTCCTGATCCAGCCAATTCTTCTCCACTCCAGGCTTCCTTAGCTCCTTGTACATCTCAATCATAGCATTTGTTTATGTCTATTTGTTATTACTATGACTGGACATTGTTTGGGTGATCATTAGACAATTCCCATCTTCCACTTGGGCTCTAAGCACTATGAAGTCAGGGACTGGCTCCTTTCATTCTCTTTTTATCCCTACATTTTCATATGCTTTTTTTCTTTATTGATTAAGATATTACATATGTGTTTTTATCCCCCACCTCCCTCATGACCCCTTGTGTCTGTGTCCATTGATTAGGCTTATATGCGTACATACAAGTCCCTACATTTTCAAATTCCCGGTGCTTATTAGTAGGAACTCAAAAACTGTTTTTGATTAAGTGAAGGTGTTAGTGAATGGACAGAGATGAGAGTGGAAATCTCTAGCAAACTATATATGCAACCACAAAGACAGGAATTCTTGAATATACAAAAAGGACAAACAGATAAGAAATGGAGCTAGAAAAATTGGCAGGTCTACGTCTTGACAGGACTTTGTGTTAATCCAAAGAATTTGAATTACATAGTATCTTGGATACCATGAAATATTTTAAACAGGATAGAGAGTTGTTCCACTCTTCATTTTTGAAATAATAACTTAGGAACAATGTGCAGTCAGATTTAGAAGAGGGTATAAGATGCTGGGATGTGAGTTAGAACGCTGTGGCATTGTCCTATGATAGCTGATGAGGACAGAAACAGGACAAGAGAAATGAGGATGGAGCCACTGTGGTGCCTAAATTACTTCCCTTTGGTTTCAAAAGCTTTTTGCTTTGTTTTTCAGGTGGATCGGCAGCCCCAGTTTATTCAAGGCTACCGTGTGATGTATCGCCAGACCTCGGGCCTGCAGGCCACACCAACATGGCAGAATTTAGATGCTAAAGTCGCAAATGAGCGAAATGCTGTCCTAGTCAATCTGAAAAAGGGGGTAACTTACGAAATTAAAGTTCGACCTTACTTTAATGAGTTCCAAGGAATGGATAGTGAATCCAAAACAGTTCGTACTACGGAAGAAGGTCAGTATTCAGATCCCTAACATGAACCTAACTTAGACCATAATGAAACCAATTTCTGTTGAAGTTATAGTTTATCATCTTTCTTAGAAGAGTAGCAAGAGAGACGATAAAAGTGAATCCAGGAAAGAGTATTTTTCTCTTTTTGTTCTGAGAATTTCATAAAATCTGACAACTCAAAAAAAAAAAGACATTCAAATAATTTGTAAACATTTGTCCCAAATCTTCTTTGTCAGTACATTGGAACTTGATTATAATATTTTCCCATATTTTTTTTCCATGGATTAGACTCACTTGGCTTCATCAAAACAGGCTACTGGAAACTCAAGAGCACAGGCTGTTCATTGTCACGCCTCTTAGAATGACATCTTCTTCTTGAAGTCTTCTTCCCTGTGGCCTCTGCTGATCTGACTCATAATTTCTAATTTAGAATGCCACACGCATGTTTGCAATAGTTTTCTTCTTACAGTTGTTTTCTCCCTTCCCCATTTTGGAACTTTTCTTGCCTGTACTTTAAAGTTAACCTGTGAGAGACATAAATAAATGTAGGTCTCAACCAGTCCATTTACTAGTGTCTTCTTTATTTAACTACATGCTTATAATAAATTCTATCATAAAACTAAAAAAAGTCAGATGCCAAGTAAAATAAATTTCCTCCCTTTTCTGTGTTGTACTAATTTTATGTATATGCTCCATTAAAAAAAGCCTCTTTTTTCTAAACATACTTTATATAAATTAATATACTAAACTTAAGAAAATGTATATAGGTTGTTCACGCTAAAGTGTAAATGCTCATTTGTCTAAAGAGCTTTTCAAGTATGCATATCTTATAATAAGCAACCCAATGAAAAGGTTATCTTGACATTGGTTTGCAGTGTGATACACTGACAGGCATAAGTACAGGCTTTTAAAGGCATCACTAATATATGTTTAGGATATGTAAAGAAAAAAGTACTAAAAATTAATAATAGAGTCATCACCATTACATTTTACTTAGGTTGAATAGGTATAGTACTAACAAGCGGGATAACTCAATACAGAATCCCATGTTGAAGTATACTTCCAAAATCAATTCCACTGCACTTAGACTTTTCCCCTGGATTAGACATTTGTCACCATCGCAGTACGTTCATCTCCGATTTCAGAGACCTTGTGAAGGTAACAAATGGAACTCAGCTAACCTGTGCCTGGGAATGATGAGTGGTGATTTGGGTTCTTTCACATCCATAGAGAGAAGCTGGGCACAGGAATCATTGACCCGTAAGGAAGCAGGCATGGTGTTCTCTCCACGCCAGCAGAAAGACCAACGAAAAACTAGCTCTTAGAAGTTATTTTTCAATACAGTCTACTTAATAACGACAAAACTGGTAGACGGTGGTGGGATTTATGTCATCGTGCCACATTTCAGAGCATTATTGTCACACAGAGGAATAATAAAGGGTGGTATTGTGGTACGTGTGTGTCCTGCTTCTGAATGTAAATATGACCAAATTTACCAAACATGGGAGACTTTATAGACAGGCTTTAAAATGTATTTTACAATTCAATTGTATATATTTTCAAAGGGCTAAACCATGTAGAGTTATGAAAGCATTGACCCTTTTACATAATAATCCTTTGAATTTTGTTTTAACTGTAAGGATTTTTATATTGATTTTTCTTTCTTTGGTTTAAACTCAGATTCACTGAGAATTCATGCTTTCCATCAGAATTAGTGTTTGTTACCTCTCAGATACACTGTATGGGACACTGCAGTATAAAATCAGAAATTCTTTTCACTCACCTTTTCTCAGTGGGATTACAGAGAAACCATAAAGGAAGCAAATGTAAGAAGTTAAAATGTGTCCATGAGACATTTGACCCAACATGAACTGTTTTCATTTCTATCTTCAGAGTTCCTTGCCCATCAATATAAAATAAGTCTGAAATCTTAAATTATGAGTCAATTTAGAGCAGTAAATTATTTTCCCAATATGAAAAGACAAGTATTTTCCATTTGTTGGTATAATTTATAGCTGTATCACTGTTTTTGTTAATTAAAATCAAACTAAAATAAATAGGTTGTCAATAATGCCATCACTCAGAGATAATGATTAATAAAATTTTAGATCAAAGTTTTAAAATTAGACATACCTGTGTTCAAATTCTACCCTATTGCTTTTACCTTCTGAGGTTATTGTGAGAATTAAATCTGACACTTAGCTCTGTGCTGGGTATATAGAAAATACTCATCAGAATGTTAGCTGATAAATTTATTGTTCAGTACATAGTACTACAGACAGCTATTGTATTTGCTTCAAATCCATCCGTTATATTTAAAATATATTTTATAAAAACTGTCACTCTTGAATACTATATGCACAGTTAGAATACTGGAAACCAGAATCTCCTGCTTCTTGTCTTCAGATTTGTATTCTGCAAGCACCATCAATGCGCACCAAGACTTACAGTTTGTGTTTATTCTAATTGCTTCTTCTACAGCCCCAAGTGCTCCTCCACAATCTGTCACTGTGCTGACAGTTGGAAGCCACAACAGCACAAGTATTAGTGTTTCCTGGGACCCTCCTCCTCCAGATCATCAGAATGGAATCATTCAAGAATACAAGGTAGGGCCTGCATGAAGGAAGGTTCACAGAGCAGGCTCCCAGGGGAGTCTCAAGAGCACAAGAATGAGCCACATCTTCACTGTCTCTCTTTTTGAATTTGAATGTAAATTAATATTTACATACTAGAAGCCAGGTGCACAAAATTTGTGAATGGTAAGGGGTCCCCTCAGCCCAGCCTGCACCCTCTCCAATCCTGGACCCTTCGGGGATGTCCAGGAGATCAGGCCTAAACCGGCAGTCAGACATCCCTCTCACAATCCGGGACTGCTGGCTCCTAACTGCTCACCTGCCTGCTTGCCTGGTTGCCCTTAACTGCCCTCCCCTGTCGGCCTGGTTCCCCCCAACTACCCCCTTGCTAGCCTGGTCACCCCACACAGCCTGCTGTTTGATCATCCATCTGGTTATTTCGGTCATGACAGCCCCTGGCTTTTTATAATTAGGATTTGAGTGACAGGTAAAACAGTGGTTCTCAACCTTCCTAATGCCGCGACCCTTTAATACAGTTCCTCATGTTGTGGTGACCTCCAATTATAAAATTATTTTCGTTGCTACTTCATAACTGTAATTTTGCTGCTGTTATGAATCATAATGTAAATATCTGATATGCAGGATGTATTTTCATTGTTACAAATTGAACATAACTAAAGCATAGTGATTAATCACAAAAACAATATGTAATTATATATGTGTTTTCCGATGGTCTTAAGCAACCCCTGTGTAAAGGTTGTTCGACACCCAAGGGGGTCGCGACCCACAGGTTGAGAACCGCTGAGATAAAACAACAAATGGATAGGGGATTAGAACCTAAACCTAAAGTCACAGATAACACAAACTCAGTTGCAAAAGTAAACCATAATGGTGGAGCAGGGTTTTTTTCTGATTAGATTGTTGTGTAACACACCTTATAGCAGAATTTTTAAATTGTGTTCTCAGAAAAAGATGCTTCCGGGGTTTAGAGTCCTGGGGTGTGAATAGGAGGGTGGGCAGCACCAACTCCCACTCTGCTTTTATCTGCTTTTGTTAATGTACTGAAATCTTGCAAAATATATCATTCAAAAATGAAAGCCATTAAATACATTTTGAAAAAAAAACCATGTTACGAACAAATGGCTGATTATCTTATTTTTCAGCTGAACTTTTTGCTATTTAGAAACAGTATATATCTATTGTTTCTTCATCATCATTTGATGTTTAAGAGACACAAGATATATAACTGATAAATAAGATTCTGATTAGGTGATGTAATTAGACCACATTAAAACTTGCAAAAATTTTAAAACTATAATTTTTGTTATTAGTAAATATTTACATAATTATGACAACAATAACTAGACAGTTCTATTAGAATGGAAAACTAGACACCCTACTTGACCCCAGAAATTAATATATGGCATGTGAAATTAAGCTGAATTATTTCACACAAAACATTGCAGATTGAATTATGTTATTTCTAAGAAAAAATGATAAACTTAAAATATAATTTTTTAAATTAATGGTTAACTTACTGAAACAAATGAGAAGAATGTTCATAAGCACGTAAAATTATTCCCATTACATTATAAAAACACGGGCATAAGAAATATGGGAATAATGCGCTTTCAAATAGGAAAAATTATACAGATTTTAAAGGTTTTTAAGTGTTAGGACACATGTTTTAAGACCAACAAAAATCTACTATGGTGTGCATGTGCGTGTGTGTGTGTGTGTGTGTGTGTGTGTGTGTGTGACTTTTAATAAGGTTAGCATTTTACTATTGTATAACCTGAGACTAAATATCCTAAAGTTCCATCTACTTAAAATTGATTTTTTTACAACATGAAAAATTGTGTCACAAATTATAAGCTTTCTCAATTATATGAGATTGCAATATTTTGGTGACAATATATATTTAGATCAGGACTAAATATTCCTCCAAAGTAACACAGGTATCATAGTGTAAATCAAAAAAATATACAATTCACAAATATTGTTTTAAAGAATTAGCTTCAGGAAATTTACCTATGTCAGAAATAAACCCTTTATGTTCTTTATGTATCTATATTGTAAAATATTATATAATAAGAATACAAATATATAGAGAGAGCATATTTCTATTTATAACACTTTGCACAGTAACAGATTTCCATATCCAAGAAGAATGTATGCCTTAAAATTTTATTATTACTAGAAGTAAAAGTCCAGCATTCATCACATTAGTATTTAAAGACTTCCCAACACTTTGTTCTCATGCATATGTACTTGTGTGTGAATATATTGATCAATATTAAGATTTATTACTGTCAATGTAAATATTCACTTTAATTTCATCTCAGTCAATACCTATAACTTAAGTCAATTAATCTTGTTAGCTACTTCTGTGTAAGTTAATATTTTCTTAAGTGAAATATAAATTACTTAGATGTGCACCTACGTACTTTGAATATTACAACTTACAATCATCATATTTTAATAGATTATATGTATAATAAATCTTGAAAAGTAAATTAAGAAGAGGAATTTATGTTTTAATCCCTATGCAAATGCTCAACCAGGGACCAGTGTCTACAGGCATTAAGGAAATTATTGTGTTATGAGCATTCAATGTTGATTATTAGTTATAAAGGAACATGGCATAGTTTCAGCTTTCCTTATTGTTCTTTCCTTAATACACACATACACACAAAATCACACACTGCATAAATTAGGCTTTAAAAATGTCAATAACGAATCCTATATAATAAAGAGCTAATATGCAAATGATTGTCACACCCTCACACTATGATGCTGTAATGGCTCAGACACTCAACACTGGGGAGAGAGGAATGGAGACTAGTCAGGCACAAATGAGCTCACGAGAGAGGAATGGGGACCAGCCAGGCTGTGGCCCAGGAGAGAGACAAGCTGCCTGCCTTGCGGTCCTGGGCACCAGCAGCTGGGGCTGCGGCCTGGGAGAGGGACAAGCCACCCACCCCACAGTCCTGAGGGCCAGCGCCTGCGGCTGCAGCCCAGGCAAAGCCACCCACTCACGGTCCCCTGCAGCTGCAGCTGCCCCAGGCAAAGCTGGCCCGGGTCCTGGGTACCTGCGGCTGGCCAGAGGGAGGGAAGCCCAGGTCCCAGGTGCCTGCGACCAGCTGGAGGAGGGAATCCTGGGTCCCAGGTGTGGGGCAAGGCAGAAGTGATTAGGGATGATCAGGCCAGCAGGGGGGCAGTTAGGGGCGATCAGGCTGATAGGGGAGAAATCAGGGTTGACCAGGCAGGCAGGCAAAGGTGGTTAGGAATGATCAGGCAGGCAGACAGGTGAGTGGGTAGGATCCAGTGGTCCCAGATTGTGAGAGGCAGTTGGATATCCCCTGAGGGATCTTGGATTGGAGAGGGTGCAGGCTGGGCTGAGGGAACCCCCACCCCTGTGTACCAATTTTGTGCACTGGGCCTCTAGTACTTCTATAAGCCTAGGAAGTAGTTGATCACTACTAAATATATTTGATCTACTATATTGATCTAATTATGAGAATGGATAAGTCTATCTTCTTTTGTTATTCACTTTATATTTCTGTAGATCTGGTGTCTGGGAAATGAAACACGATTTCATATCAACAAAAGTGTGGACGCAGCCATTCGATCTGTAATAATTGGAGGATTATTCCCAGGTATTCAATACCGGGTAGAGGTTGCAGCAAGTACCAGTGCAGGGGTTGGAGTAAAAAGTGAACCACAACCAATAATAATCGGTGAGTACCAACCTATGTAGTCTGTGTATAATCAGTTAGCTGGTGGCACGTAGATTATTTTTTGAATCTCCTTCCTGAGAGTGGATATGCAGTAATGAAAGAGAGGGTACACACATCATACAGGCAAATGGGTTAGCTGACTAGAGTTTCTTACAAAAATGATTAGCCATTGCTCATACTGTTAAGACTCCCATAAACTTCTTAAATTATAATTACTGAGTTTAACTGGTGAAAGGTTGTTTGAAAATTATTTTTAATCAATAGTTTCATTAGTAATGTTGATACCAATCTATATATATAAACCCTAAGTGACTGGTCGACTGGTAGCTATGACACGCACTGACCACCAGGGGGCAGATGCTCAATGCAGGAGCTGCTCCCTAGTGGTCAGTGCACTCCCACAGCAAGAGTGCCACTCACCTGACCAATCAACGGCGCCAGACGCCGGGCTCATGGCTGGTGAGCACAGGTGGCGTGAGCCTCTCCCACCTCCATGGCAGCACTACTGAGCAGCAGCAGGAGGCAGCAGCAGGCACAGCAGGGCCGAGATGAGTGGGAACGGCTCGGTGCCCAGCCCGGGCTCATGCTCCTACCTGGCCGCCTGCCGCTTCACACTCTACTATATCCCCCAAGAGGTCCCAGATTGTGAGAGGGTATAGGCCAGGCTAAGGGACCCCATCGGTGCATGAATCCGTGCACTGGGCCTCTAGTGAAATATAATAAGAAATGAGGCACTTATGGAAGAAAGTGCATTATACTTCAAATCTATATGCTTTCTCTTAGCCAAAAAAAAACAAAATAAACTTTGTAATCTATATATACTATCCTGAAGAAGAAATCCCTATTAAATCTACTATCATTATTACAGAAAATTGTTCCCAATCATTATTACAGAAAATTGTTCCCAATCACTATGAATATGTTTGCCTGTTCTTAAGATATATATAAATGGAATGGTACAGAACATAATGTCATATATATATATGGCATTTAATATGTTTTAATTCTGAGCAGTATTAATTTGTGTGAATATATCATATATTATTGGTTTTCTCTTCAGAGAATGAACATTCTTGTGTAAGCTATGTTGAGAACATTTTTTTTAATTTCTTTGAGAGAAATAACTAACGTGGAATGTCTGGGTAACAGGATTGAAATAATTTGATTTTATAAAAGACTTTACACAATTTTTTCCAAATTGCATACTTTTATAGAATCACTAGCAAAGAATATTATTTCCAATATTTCCATATTGTACCAACATTTGATGTTGCAAGTCTGTAATTTTAGCCATTCTTGTGAATGTAAAAAGTACTCACTTCAGTTTTCTTTGATGACTAAAAATGGCGAACAAGTTTACATGTGCATATTAGACATTCACATTTTTTTGTAAAATGTCTAAATCTTAAACTTTTTAAAAGTATGTTGTTTGCCTCCTGCTACTGATTAGAAGGAATTATATAACCACTCTGTATACAAATTCTTTGTCATGTATTTGTATTGCAAATACTTTTTTGTTTATGACTTCTCTATTCATTTTTTAAATAATCTTTTGATGAGCAAGTTTTAAATTTTAGTGAATTACAGTTGATCAAACTATTTTTTTATGTTTAGTGCTTCCTAGGAAATTGTGTCCTGCTTCTAGATAGTGAAGATATTTTCTTATATTTTCTTCTACAAGCTTTATAATTTTAACTTTTATGCTTAAGTATATAATTTCTCTTCAAGTAATTACATGTGGTGGGAGGGATGAGGCTTATTTATTTCCAAGTATATATCAAATTGCATTGGCATCATTTATTAACTTGCCTTTCCCCAGTTAACCATATATGTATGGATCCATTCCTGGATTCCCTGTGCTGTTCCATGTCTTTATATATCTGTCTATCTGCCAAACCACTGTTTTGATTACTGTAGCTTATAGAAAGTCATGAGATCCGGTAATGTGAATACTCCATTATTTTCTTCTGCAAAATTGTTTTGGCAGAAGAACTGTTTCAAAGCAGCTTGTCAGTTTCTACAACATATTGTTTCTTGAAAACACAGTGAATCTATACATTAAATTGGAGAGATTAAACTTTTTTTATTGTTGAGAGACTAAGCATTTTAATAGTGAGTCATTCTCTCCAAAAATATGATGTATCTCTTTAACATTTACCTTTAATTTCTCTCAACAATATTTTGTCATTTTGAGAGTATGGTTGTGTTAAACTTTTTTTCTGAGTATTTGATTATTTTTACACTAATTGTGTTCATAAAATTTTCTCAACTATTCTATGTTATATATAAATTTAATTTAATATGTTGTTCTGTTATCACTTTATTAACTTCACTTATTTACTTTAATAGTTATGAACTACTTCTTATGCATATATTTGAAAAATCATCTGTTTTCTTTCTCCTTATTTGTGTTAATATGGTCAATTCTATTGACTGGTTTCAAAGATAAACTTTGCTTTGCAAACCCCAATTGGTCAGGATATATTATGCTTTTTATATATATTACTTAATCTGATTTGCTAATATTTTATAAAGAACTAGAAAGCCTGTGCATGAATTTTGTGCACTGGGGGGGTGGGGTTGGGGAGAGGGTCCCTTAGCCTTGGCCTGTGCCCTCTCACAGTCCGGGATCCCTCTCACAGTCGGGGACCCCTCGCTCCTTACCACCCGCCTGCTCACTGTTCCTTATCTCTTGGCTCACTGCTCCTTAGCGCTGCCACAGAGGCGGGAGAGGCTCCTGCTACTGCCTGCTGCTGCGCTAGCCAGCTGTGAGCCCGGCTCCTGGCTGAACAGCACTTCCCCTGTGGGAGCGCACTGACCACCAGGGACATTTCTTGTCTTGAGTGTCTGCCCCTTGGTTGTAAGTGCACGTCATAGCAACCAGTAGTTCTGCTGGTCCTTCTGCAGTTCGGTTGATTTGCATATTAGGCTTTTAATATATAGGATTTGTGTGAGCTCTTATATGTTAAAGACATTAAGTATTAATCAAATATTTGCTGCAAATACATTTTTCCCAGTCTGTCTTTTAAAATCTAGGCTCATTAGCATTTTCCCCTGTAGCTACATGGATTCCTTTAGATGCCTGTTTTCTTCCTCATTGGAATTCTATGTTATTTTTATTGCTATAACTTCTTTTTTTTAAAGAGTCTCTTACTCTTGTTGAGTTATATTTTCTTCTAGTTTGCAGCCATGGGACCATAATGGCTTCACCTCTAACTTTATTTTTTTAAATGTGTTTTCATTTATTTGAGAGAGAGAGAGAGGAAGAGAGAAAGAGAGAAACTTTGAGCCCATAATCTGGGCATGTGCCCAGACAGGGAACCTAACCAGCAACCTCTTGGTATACAGGACAGACATCCAGGCCTGGGCCTCAGGCTTTTTACTCATTGTTGTTAATACTTATAGGAGTCAAAGGTCCTTCACAGGTGGTTTCTTATGCTAATGAGCTCACAGTTTCTGAAAGAGGCTGAAGATTCTCATTCAGGGTTTTCACAGGACAGTGGCACCTCGCAGAACCCCTACTCCTAGGAGACTCGCCTTTCAACAGCAATAACAGAACAGCTGACACTGAATGGCCACTTAAAACAGGCCCCAGCACTCTTCTAAGTGCTTCACCTGGTGACCTGGTTTGATCCACAACCCCAGGAGGCTGGCACTATTATTCCCAGTTTCCAGATGAGAAAACAAAGGCGCCGAGTGATTAAGTAATTTGCCCAAGTGCAGGGCAGAGCTGGGAGGCACACGGAGTGGGGGCTGCTGGGGAACAGATGTGCACATTGATGACACAGGAATTCCCAGCGTGAGAGACAACGAGGCAGGACAGGACAGTGCCGGGAAGAGAGGGAAGGCAGCGGTATTGCCCCGGAGACCCAGGGAACACATGCTGGGACCCGGCTGGACTCCTGACCCTCAGGGGTTTCATATTGCAGAGCCATCTTGCCCGGGAATCCGGAATCCGAGTTCTCCCAGGGGCCCCAGGACACGGAGCAGGCAATTTCCACACCTGCTGCCTACATTGCTAGTTCAACACTGGGGTTCATAAGCCCAGGGAGGTCAGATAATCACAGTGGCAACAGTGAGTGCTTAGCACCTGTCAAGCACCGGGCTGAGAGCCTTATGTGCACAATCTCATGCACACCTGTAACATTCCACTGAGGCTGGTACTGTTATCATACCCATTTTCTAGATGAAGAAACCGAGGCTCGGAGAGGTTACACAGCTCTAACTGGCGGAGTCTGTGTGACTCCAAAATCACGATGTCCCTCTGCTACCCCCAACCCTTGGGTGGGTGGTGTTGCTAAGTCCAGCTTTTCTCTCCCTCTTGCTCTGGGACACCCGATGATCAGCAGGGCTGAGCAGAGGAGGAGAGACGGGGCTCCGAGGGACCCAACAAGGGACCTGGCCATTATTTCTCTGGAGCCCAGCGATAAAGAATCAATAAGGAAAAAGACTTGCTGTTTCCAGGCTGTTCTATTGTATCTTCTTCCCATGGAAACTGGTTTTCCATGGGTGATGAGAGCCTGTGGGCCGAGGGTAAGGGACCAAGAGGTCGGCCATTCTCTCCCTCGCTGGCCTTGCCCTTGGCGCTGGTTGACCTCGGTGTGTGGGGTGATTGGGGGCGGGGCCTTGGCTTGGCACCTTCGCATGCCCCACCCCCCACCCAGAGTTCCCCCAGTTCCCCATTCGCCATCAGGGATGGGAGCCTGAAGGCCAGGGGGAGGGACCGAGAGGTCAGAGAGGTCCCGCCTTTCCCACAAGCTGGCTGGCCCACCCCAACCGAGGGTTGGGGGGACTTGCAGGGCGGAGGCCTTGGCCTGGCATGGCCCACGTCCCCTGCCACCCACCCCTGGCTCCCCATTCGCCATTGGGGGATGGGAGCTGCCGGCTAGGGGAGGGACCGAGAGGGGGAGTGGTCGTTCTCGCGGCCACCCCTCAGCGTCCCGGGGCCCACTGTTAGGTTGTCCAAATGGTCCTGACGCCCCTAGGCTATTATTAGTATA